CTCTACCTACAACCTGCTTTATGAGCTCCGAGATCCAGTTTCCCTGAAGGTGCCTCCAAGCTGCCTGACATGCCAGGCCGGGATAACACCACTTCCATCCCCAGATAGCCCAGTCTCTGGCTCTTCCTGCATTTTTACAGACCCATAATGACTATCACTGGGTCCCATTCCTTGGATGCCCTGAGAGCAGGAAACCCAACGTAGCCTCATGTCCTTCATCCTGATCCTTGGTGTCTTCTGAACCCTAGCTCCTACTTGCCCTAAGTGCTAAATGACCGTTTGTGACCTCATCTGTTTTTTTAAAAAAAGAGCCCAGGTATCTGGATTACCAGTCTCAATCAGCAGGTCCAGATTCCCTGAACCCCAAGAAACTTCTAGATCTTCCCTCACTGTCTGCCTTTCCTGAATCCTTGAAAACCAAAAGCCAGAACCCGGCTTCACTCCCTACTCCCAAGTGGGTCCCCTGAGCATGACACAAGAGATTCCAGATCCCTAAATCTCTTGCAGCTGAAATCCTAAGCCCCTTTCCACTGGGTTTGAGCCCCCCAGCCCCACCCTCAGCCCCATCCTGCCCCCACAGGACCTTCCCGGCTCCTACTGACCCAGGCACATCAGGCCCTGCTGTGCCCCGCTGATGTGTGTCCGTGTTGTGCCCGTGTTGTCCCGTGTTAAGTGTTTGTGTCCGGCCCCGCACCCCCTTCCCCGCCTCCCCCACAGACGGCTTCACCTCAGAGGGCGAGATTCTGGAAATCTCCGACATCCAGCGGGGCCAGGCCGGGGAATACGAATGCATTACTCACAACGGGGTGAACTCGGCGCCTGACAGCCGCCGTGTGCTAGTCACAGTGAATTGTGAGCACCAAGGGGGCGCAATGGCTCACCCTGGATACCTGGGGAGGAGGGGTCTGCCGCATGAAGCTGGAAGCTCTGTGGGAATTCGGATCTGGGGGGAGGAGGGTGTTGAAATGGGGCCCCCGAAGTCCTCATGCAGCAAGAATGTGCCTCTGTCCCCTATCCCTCTAAAGATCCCCCGACCATCACGGATGTGACCAGCGCGCGCACCGCCCTGGGCCGGGCCGCCCTCCTACGCTGCGAAGCCATGGCGGTGCCGCCTGCAGATTTCCAGTGGTACAAGGATGACAGGCTGTGAGGACTGCACCGGGCAAGGCTGAGGGAAGAGGGGAGGGGAGGGAGGCCCTAGGTCTCGGATCACAGAGCCAGGGTAGAGAACCTGGCAGTGCAAAGGTGCAGAGTCCTGGGTCCTGAGAGTCTAGGGTCCAGTTTCTAGATTACAGGGTCTGTGGGCTCCTGGAAGAAAGGCTACTTCGGGCACCAGTGTAATGAATGCTGGGATTGCCCTCCACGCCACCCCGTGCAAGACGGTCTGGGGTCGAGAGTCAATGCTAAGTGTGGAAGACAAATTTAAGAGACCACCAAGGGCTGAGTTTAATAAGAGACACTGGGGATTAGGGACACATTCTGGGAATGTACTGGAGTGGCCCTGGTGCGTGGAGAGGGGATCCGTAAGGAAGCCTGGGGTCCATAGTAGAGCTCTGGGTCTTTGCGGGGCGGGGGGGGGGGAGCCTGGGTGTTTGTGGGGGAGCTGGGCACTGCACCCCCAAGGGAGGCCAAGACCAACCCTGATCCGGATCTCCCGCAGGCTAAGCAGCGGCTCGGCAGAGGGTTTCAAAGTGCAGACAGAGCGCACCCGCTCCATGCTTCTCTTCGCCAACGTGAGCGCCAGGCACTACGGCAACTACACCTGTCGAGCAGCCAACCGACTGGGAGCGTCCAGCGCCTCCATGCGGCTCCTTCGTGCGTCTGTGCTGGGCGGCGGGGTGGGACAGGGTTGTGGGGGCTGAGCACTGGTGGGGCCCAGACATCAGTGGGTGGGGCAAGGAGGTGAAGATATAGGGATAGCCCCTGGCCCAGAATTTAGGAAACCCCAGCAGTAAAGAAGCTGATTCTCAGGTGGTGTGCACGAAGTTCTAGACTCGAACCCCATCACTATTTAAAGTCAACATAGTGGTGCACCCAGGAAGGGAAGGCAGGAAGTTACATAGTGAGTTCAAGGTCTGGGGACTCATAGGGCCTAGTAGAAAAACAATAAACAAATGGGCTAATAGATGCATATCAAAGAAACAGGTACATGTGCAAAAATACAGACATAATTGGGGGTGGTAGGTTTGAGATAAGATCGCTGGAGAAAGGGGAGCTCTGTGCAAGTCAGCAGGAAGAGGGAACAGCCATTACAAAGACACAGGAAGGAGAGTAGTCTGACAAGGACAGCTGCTCTTAGAGAGCTCAGAGCTTCCCAGCGCTGATCAGAGGCTCTGGACTGACTGCACTGCTCCCGAGGCCACTGACGGCTGTTAAACAGTGAGTGACATGAGGCTGACAAGCCCTTTTTACTGCTCCACGAATCCAGTCTCAGCATCTCAAGCTGTTTGGGGGCAGAGCCTACAGGCTGTTATTGTCTGGGTGCAGAAGTGTGAGCCAAGAGAGAAGCTGGGTCAAAAGTGACTCTGAGCCAGGGACTTGTATTGTGGGGTGTTATCGCAGGTACTCGGGAGGCTAAGGAAAGAGGATTGAAACTAACTTAGTGGGACCCTGTTGTGAAATAGAGAGTAAAGAGAGGTCTAGGATACAGCTTAATATTTGCCTAGAATCCCCCAGTGAGGGGCTGGGGGCGTGGCTCAGTGATAGAGCATTTTCTTATCGTGTGCAAACCATTACCTTCCATCCCCAGTAAAACAAAGTGATTAAAAAAAAAAAAAAAACCCTCACAAACAGTCAAACAAACATAGGCACCCTGAAGTTTCTGGTGCCCTAAGAAGGTGACTGGTAGAAACGCTGACAGAATTTTTAACAGGGAAAAACAAACCCCAAGGATCCAGACTAACCAATTTAAAAAAAAAAATAGAGAAAATCTAGGAGTATATTCAGACCCAGAACAGTTATAGAAGAGGCAGGCCCAAGGAACCCAAACCCCAGAGAGTTCTAATCACAGCAACCCTGGGAAGCTGGAGGGAGAGAGGGCATCCAGGAAAGACCCGCAGGGCCTCCCCATCTCAGCCTCCCTCTGTAACTGTTTCTCTTTTGACAGGCCCAGGATCCCTGGAGAACTCAGCTCCGAGGCCTCCAGGACCCCTGACCCTCCTCTCTGCCCTGGGCTGGCTGTGGTGGAGAATGTAGATGTCACCCAGTCCAGCGCACCTCCCCCTGAAGGGGGCCCCAGGCCAGGAGCAAGAGAAAGGGGGTGAGCAAGCGCCTTGGGTCTCAAGGGGGACAGAAGAGCTCTCAGCCACAGAGGAAGAAAGAAGAAGAGGAGGAGGAAGGTCTTTTAGAGAACCCATCACTGTGAGGGATAACGCAAAATTATGCATCTTTCTACAGCCATTCTCGCCACCCGTTCACGTTTCAATTGTGACCCACCACCCCCAGCCACTCCACACCCCTCTCTTAGCTCAGGCTGTCAACTGGCTCGTGTGTGTGTGTGTGTGTGTGTGTGTGTGTGTGTGTGTGTGTGTGTATGAGTATGAGTCTGCATGTTGTGTACGTGTGTATGTGTGTGAAGGTGTGCTGGGGAGGGAACCAGGAGGCCTCTCTCTCTGGAACCGACTCTCCCATGGCCCCTGCCCATTCCTGCTGCCTCTCTTCCTCTGGCTGGAGGTAGGTATGGGGGCTTCATGGTGGAAGCTTGACAAGAAGATTGCCAGCTTTCCACCTTCCCATATATGCACGAACACCTACCCCTCTCCTCCCTATTGAAGGGGCAGGCAGGGTGGGTGTCAGGTGTCACTCAGCCTTTGTGAATAGGTGGGGATCTTCATTATGGCTTGTTTCTCCCTGCTCTATCACCAGTTGCCTGCAGCCAGAGGCCCTATCACTGGCTCAGTGGCTTGAAACCTCCCTTGTCCCCTGCCCCTCCCCGACCCTGAACTTTCTGGCCCCCTTCCTGGGCCAATCGGTGCTTCCATTCAACTGATGGGCTGGTGGCACTTGTCACCGGTCTATCTCAGTGCTTTGCCCCACCCAGACCCCCAGACTCCCCTTGGCCACAGTGGCACCCTCCAGCTGCCCTGCAGCTGACCCACAAGCATGGGCCCCCTGGCCACCTGCTCCCTCTCCTCTCAACCCATAGTACCTCCAAAGGCTGCTGTGACCACACACACACACACACACACACACACACACACACACGCATGCACACGCATGCACACACACACACACATACACACGCATGCACACGCATGCATACACACACGCACACACACACGCACACCAGCGACTGACCAGCAATAGCTCTCGGCTTCAGCTGCCCCAGAGTCTGTGAGGAGCAGTAATTCCCTCAGAGTAGGCCACTATTATCCACAGAGAAAGCTGACAGGCTCTATGCGTGGGAACACCCCGCCCTGATACACCAGGCCTCACAGAGTTGGAAAGAGAGGAGACACACAGACATCTGGAATCCAGGCAGAGGCACCATGCCACCAGCCCTAGCTTCCACACACCCAAAACCATACCACTCAGAGCCTGGTGAAGATGAGGGCAGAGAGGGGCAGGGAGGCAAGGGGCAGTGACTGTACCTCAGACGGGGGCGTGGGCCCCATCCCACATTGTCTTCCATTCCCAGGGTCCGGGATGGGGTGGGGAGGGGGAGGGATACCTGGGGAGGTGGGAGGGGGGCCCTGGGGGCCGTGTGTTCCAATTCATGGGGAGTGTTGAGACCACCACACCAATAAACGCCTTTTTCCAAAGTCCCCGCCTGTGGAAATCAGTGTTGTTGAGGATTTGGGCAAGTGGATGGCAAAGGAGGTGTAGCCATTTGGTAAAGAATCCCCAATGCCATTCCTACCTCTGCCTGTTAGGGAGGTGAACTCCAGTTGGCTTAAGCTGATCAACAGAGCCCATCCATGCTTGGCTCAGAGATGGGCACATGACCCAATGATGCTAACAAGAAGGCGCATTGTCTCCAGGAAGGGAGGCTCTTCTGCTGGTCAAGGGGGCTCAGTCTCAGAGCCTGAGCATGCAGTGTAGCTTTATTATGTGGAGGGGGGTCTTATGGGGGGTAGCAGTGAGGAAAGGGTAGAGCAGCTGGATCAAACCCTACCTGAAGCTCACTCACCCACACATAAGCAGTAAAGCCTGTGTTTGTATAAGCTAATTGGTATCATGCTTTCTGTTGGCAGTGATAAAAAAAATACAAAATCTTGATTTTTCTCCCCCTTTGTACATATAGTATTAGAGACTGAACCCAGTATTTAATCCTCGCTGGGAGATTCTAGACAGGAGCTCTACCCTGGAGCCACATTCTCATCTGTCACTGAGGGATTCTAGGTAGCTGCTCTACTATGGAACCACATGCCAAGTCCTTGGTGTTTTGAGACAAGGTCTCTCTCTGAAACACTGACCTTGAGCATGTGGTCTCCCTACCTCAGGCTCCCAAGTGTTTGTATTACCTTGGACCGTGATGCCTGGCTCTATGTGTTGCTGCTTTCAGCCTAAGATTCCTCACTGCTGCAGCTCTAAATTTCCCGTGAGCACTCTTGTTGAAAAAGGAAGACATAGCTTGCCAAGGATAGCAGCAACAGCCGCAGTTCTTCACGGGCACTCGAATATTCTATCAGTCCACAGTATTTATTGCATGCCTGCTGTGTGCCAGGCTCTGTTTCTGCTGGGATAATAGTGTGGTGTGTGCCTCACTGAGCTATCAGTCCAGAGAGGGAAACTTCCTGACATCTGTCATTGTACACTTACAGGACCGGAGGGAAGCTGGGGACTGTGGAACTTCACTCACATTGAAGGCGGGGGGGTGGGGGGGTGTCTTTCTGAGTGCCAGTGGCTACTTCTAGCCTTGATAAATCAATGACATGGGAAAGAGAAGTGTCCAGGCAGAGAGAACTCTAGGGACAAAGAGCTGGAGGCCAGGGGAAGTGCGGTTGACAGAAGGCCTACGGAGGAGTAGCCTTGGGAGGAGAAGTCACAGGGGTTGGCAGAGGCCAAACCACAGGCCTCAGAGGTTAGAATGCAGAGACTGAATGATGTCTAAACACTCTGTACAGCCGGAGAGAAATTTGAGAGAGAGGATAGAGAGAAGTCATGGTAGTGCATGGCTGCCATCTCAGCAGGAAGACTGGGGAGTGTGAGGCCAACCAGGTCTACGTTATGAGGTCCTTTCTCAAAAACAAACAAACAAACAAACAAACAAAAAACGACAGAAAGAAAGGTGTGTGTAGTGGCCCACGCCTGCAGTCCCAGCACTTGGGGGACTGGGGCCGGAGAATCATGAGGTCAGGGCCAGTCTGGGCTATCTAACAAGTCTGAAGCCAGCCTAGGCTCCATGAGACTCTGAGTCACAAAACAAAGCAAAAAGGAAATCAAGAGATGGGGGAGGAAGTGGGGCATGGGATGCGTGCATGATCTCATGTGGATGATGGGAGTCTCTGAAAGCTGAAGGGGTGAGGCCTGGAGGAGGCAGAAGGTAGCAGACTACTGCAGAAGCTGTGGCTGGGCTCCCCTTCCAGCTTAGAGCTAGAGCAGGCCCTCCATGTCAGAGGTTCTGAGTTTCTGCTAACCGCATTCGCCCTTCTGTAGGCGGCTCTCCTATCTATCCCCCGAGTCACACTGACGTTCTCAGATGCAAAAGTACAGGTTGAGTCTTCTGAGATAAGAGGGGGACAGGATGTCCCACCCTTAGAGTCCAATCCTCAGTCACAGTAGGCCTCATGCTGCTGGGACAAAGCAGGAAACTGTACCCCAAAACACTTCATGGAGAGTGGGCCACCAGCTTTTGTCATACCTGGGTGGCTGCCCGAACAGTCCATGGGCTGCCACCTGGACAGTAAGCTGGACTGGGGCTGATGACCTGGAAGAGAGACAGGGGAGGAGGCAACTTCAGGGGCAACATAAAATAAAAATAAATAAACCTTAAAGAAAACTAGTTGAGTCCCTTCTCCTTCCCCCTTCCTTTTATTTCTCTCTTTATTTTTTTTGTTTTGTTTTTAGTTTGTGGTTTTTTGTTTGTTTGTTTGTTTGTTTCTGTTTTTGTTTTTCTTTTCTGTCTGTCTGAGACAGGGTCCTGCTGTATCACCCAAGATAACCTTAAATTTGCAGTGATCCTCCGGCTCAGCTTTCCAGTCACTATGACTGCAGGTGTGGACCCTCCGTGTGCCAATGAAAACTGTTCAGCCACCCTTGGGAGAGCTAAGGCATTCAACAGCTCAACTTTTACAGGAAAACAAGGAAATACCATCTACCTCAGAGTTTAATAATGGAAGTCTGATAATTTCTATGGGAAACAGAAGTTGCATCTCACTCTACTTTGGAACATAAATTGGAATGTCTATTCTTTTGGTATACATAAGAGCTAAGCAGGAAGTCCAGTTATCGGTATTCAAAACAAAGCAAAGCATGAGGTGTGGGGCTGTAACTAGTGTCTGCCTGGAATACCTGGGTCCCATCCCCAGATCTGCATAAGCCAGGTGTGATGACTACTGAACATAAGAGGTAGAGGCTGGAGGATCCTAGTTATATAGCCTGGGATACATAGTCAGGCCCTGTTGCCAAGCAATCAAACAATATATAAATGGAACAATTTTTATCAACCTTTGTGTGCTGGCTAGTTTTATGTCATTGTGACACAGGCTAGAGTCATCTGAGAGATGGGAACTTCGATTGAGAAAATGCCTCCATAAGCTAGGGCTGCAGGCAAGTCTGTGGGGTAGATTCTTAATTAGTGATTAACCTGGGAAGGCCCAGTCCATTGTGGGTTCGGCTACCCCTGGGCTGGTGGTCCTGGGTTCTATAAGCAAGCAGACTGAGCAAGCCAGTAAGCAGCACCCCTCCATGACGTCTGTATCATCTCCTGCCCCCCGGGTTCCTGCCCTGTGGAAGTTACTGTCCTGACTTTCTATGATGAAGAACTGTGATTCAAAAGTGTAAGCCAAATAAACCTTTTCCTCTCCATGTTGTTTTGGTTATGGTGTTTCATCACGGCAATAGTAACCCTAACTAGGACACTTTATAAGTCATGAAGAAAGACACTAGAAAACACTAGAATTAGAATATCCTCCTCTTCCAGGAAGCTACGTGACCCCCATGGCAGGAGGAAACAACACCCACACTCACTTGTTGGGCCTTGACTGGGTGAGGGCTCTGCAGTTGGCTTTTGATGGGCAGTAGCCGTGGGGTCTGCACTGGGGTCAAATTCTGCATCTTTTTTCCTGGCGGGGTAAGCACAGGAGGCAAGGTCAGGGGGTGCTGCTTTTTCACAGAAGTCCTTCCTATGAGAGGATGACAGGAAACATGATTGATTGCTCCAACATGCCACCCTGGTCAGTAGGAATGGAAGCTGGTCCCGGAGGGAGAAAGGGCGATGGGACTGTTATTTAACGCATTGATTGCCATGCCTAAGCTTTGGCCTAGGAAAGCTGCAAGCTGGCCCCAGCTGCCTCTTCCTAGGTCCTCACTCACCTGGGAAATGCCTCAGGCAGCAGATACACAGGAGGAGAAGGCCAACCAGCAGCGCCAAGCCCAACAGAGAGCCAAGGACGATGCCAGCGATGGCCCCGGGACTCAGGGCAGAATCTGGAAGACACACACCATGAGACAAGGAAGCAGGATCCAGGGATGCAAATTAAGTTTTTCTGTACCCCCAACTCATCCTTCTCAGGAAGACCCATGAAATCCGATTTCAGTCCCTGGGACTGTCACGGCAAAAGGACAGAACCAACAGGGCTTTCTCTGAACTATACACACACACATCCTGTCACATGTACATAAATAAACTAACAATCAAATAAATAAAATTTAAAAAGAGACATGAGGGAAGACAGGCTTATTGTTTCAAGCCAACCAGGTAGTAGGACATTGTCACAGGAGCCCCCCGCCCCGCCCCCAACACTAACAGAAGCGGAGGGTCGATGTAAAACCTAAGAATGGCTGGTCAGCTGTTGAGAGGAAGGCAGGAAAAGGTACCACAGCCCAACTTACCCGCTTGGTAGACCCGGCTTTGAGATGGGGTCCCTGGCAGAGACCCCAAGATGGGCAAGATGCGAAAGGTCCAGGTCCCAGGGTTCCGAGAAGGGAGCGGCACGATGGCTGACCGTTCCTGAGGGCCCAGAACGAGCAGGGAGACCCAGTCTCTGCTCATGGTGACTCTATCCAGGTCAGAGCCGTCTGTCCATGCCTGGATGTGAAAGCCAGTGAGCAGGGTGCCTCGCTCCACATCCCAGGTGAGCACTGCGGCTTCTTGGGCTCTCTGCAGCCTCCATGAGGAAATGGAGGGCCCTGGAAAGGAAAGACGCTAGACACTGGGGATCTGGCGGGAGACAGTGAGGAGGGCTGGAACTGAGGGAGGAGGGCTATGATGTGGACCACTGGGTCTGAGGGAGAGGGCTAGGTTCTGGACCCCTGGGTCTGGGAAAGGACGGTTAGAGCGTGGACATCCGGGTCTGAGGGAGGAGGGCTGGTTTCTGAACGTCTGGGTTTGGCTGGAGCTCACCAGCAAGGGTGATCTGGTTGCCTCCAGCGCCCAGTGCGCTGCTGCATAGCACAGAGTAGTTCCCCAGGTCCCAATCCAGGTTGAAGTTGCTGATGAGGAGCTTCCGGCCATCCTGACTAAGCCGCAGTCGACCCCCACCTCCTGAAGCCAAGGGCCGTCCTTCCCGGGCCCAGGATGCTCTTGAGGGTGGGGGACAGCCAGTGACCTCCAGTGCTACCACCACATCCCCTAGTTCTGTCTCCTCCACTACTGACTGGAGCAGCACTTCCTGGGGGGCTTCTGTTGGTGGAAGAAGCCCAGTTAAGAGAAACAAGACCTTATTGAATGTGAATAACCAAGTTCTATGTCCTTTGTTAAAGCAAAAGGTGACAAATGTCCCCTCCTGCTCTGTGGCCAGAGGTCACATTCTGCATATTCATTCATTCATTCATTTTTGAGTTTTTCTTTTTTTTTCTTTCTTTGTTTGTTTGTTTTATCTATTGTGTGTGTCCACCACTGAAAGTATGCAGAGATCAGAGGACAATGGCTGCGAGTTGGCTCTAGCCATTCACCACTAGGGTTCTGGGGACCAAACCCAGGTCACCAGGCTTGGTGGCAAGTGCCTTTTCCCATTGTATCATCTCACCCACCCATTCATTCACTCTCCAGCTTCTTCGGCATACATTTACTGAACACATAGCATAGGATCCTAGGCTGGGAAACTCATTACTGTTAGCTATCTGTTACTTTTCTCTCTCTCTGGATACCTGGGAAGACGACAGGCCTTTTTCTGAGCCCAGGGGTTTGGGATGGAACACCCTGTTCCCGCTGGCTTCCCACCCTGAAGTACAGGACAAAACTTTGCTTCTCCTCCAGGTTCAAAGAAAAGTCAAGTTTGAGGTCTCAGGAAATGGCTTAGCAGATAAAGGCAATTGCCAGCAAGCCTGACGACCTGAGTTCTATCCCTGAGACTTACATGATGGAAGGAGAGACCCAACTCCCAAAGAAAGTGAAGTTTGGCTTTCAAAAAATAAGAAAAGTTCTCTTTGGTCCTTTCCTAAAAACCCCAAAGGACTAAAGAAAAAGTCACCCACTTCCCTTAAAGATAGCAAGGAGGCCCAGCCCCTCTCACCCGGGATGATCGTGCAGGTGCGTGTCGCCACCAGGTGGCGGGCCATACAGGTGACTGCGACGCCGCTGAGCTCAGGGCGGGCGGGGACAGCCACCACGAGTGCAGATGGCACCGGCCCTGCACGGACGCCTTCGGGGAGACCCTGGAACTGCAGAGAGGCGGCAGGGACCCCACCGGGCCAGGAGCAGCGAAAGCGGAGGCTCCGGTCCGCGGGACCCCCTTCCACTGAGCATTGTGGAGCCCCGGGGGGCAGATCTGCCACGGAGGAGAGATCATCCAGCCTCAGTCCTTTCATCTTCTCCAGTTCCACCACCATGCGGGATGCCCCACTCCTTCTCTAGGTTTCTCTCCGCCTCTTTTCCTCGATAGCTCCGCCCTCCCGCGTGCACTGACCCCTTTGTGACTCCCTCCCTCTGCCTTTGCAGATAACTTCAACCTTTGCTGATCCTACTTACCAGCCTAGGTAGCTCATCCCTTCTCTTTCGAATCTAGCTCTGCCATTTAACTTCGCTGCTCACTAGATTGGGAATCCTCTCTCAGGACCGCCCACCCTCTCCTCCTGCTGGCTCTTCTCCTTCTCCTTGGTATCCTCACCCCTTCAACCGGCAATCTGCACACCCGTGGGCCCCAGCCTAAGCACGTGTATCCTTGTGCCACTTTGTCCCACCCATTAGCAACTGGTGGGTGTTCTACTCTCAGATATCCCTCCTCCTACCATCCACGCCCACCTAGGTTGTCTCTCCTCCTCCCGCTGGACAAGCCCTTTGCCCCGTCCCACCATTACGTTTCTGCTCTGCCCTGATGATGGCGCTCCTCTCCAGGTTGTCCCACCTCACGAATGTCCCTGTCTGTACCTTCCTGCCTAGCTTTACTCTTTCCCTGGTGGCCATGCTTACTTGAGGTTTTCTCAGAAACTGCTTACTAGCTCCTCCCCTTCCTGAAAGTCACGCCCATCAACAGCTATTCCCCATTCCTCTCTGCTAGCTCGGCTTCTTCTCCAGCAGCCGCGCCCACCCTCACTGTCCCAGCTCCTCCTTGTTGGATCCTCCCCCTCTGGAGGGCACGCCTCCTACTCTTCCCTTCTCATTGCGGTCTCCTCCCTGCCCTGACACCCCAGCCTCCACGTGCTTCCGCTCTCCCTGCTGGATGGACCCACAGCTCTTACCCGCCACAGTGAGGTTGAGCACCGAACGCCTGCGGCGGCCGGTGCGGGGGTTCGCAGCGATGCAGGCGTAAGCGCCGGCGTGGCCTGGCCCCACCGACGGCAGCAGGAGGCGAGGCCCCGCAGGCACTGCGGCCTCTGTGGGGTCTGCCAGACTCCATGCAATGTCCGCAGGCGGCCGCGAGGGGGCCGAGCAGTGCAAGGTGACATTGCTGCCCGCAGTAACGTAGAGCTCAGGAACGGCATCGCGGTCGGAGAAGACCTTGATGACCGGAGCATCCGGGCCGTCTTAAGTGGGGGGCGAGACAAGGAGGAGGGGAACTGTAAAGGAGTCACAGACCCTGAGCCCACTTCTCCCCGGGGACTCAAGACTCGAATCCTCACTGGAGACACGCCCCGCACTCACAGAAGACACTGACGTCAGCTGCAGCCTCGGTGTGGCCAAAGGGGCTGCGGACACGGCAGGTGTACCGGGCGTGGTCGCTGCGTACCGGACGTGAGATGAGCAGCTGGTCCCGTTCTGCGCGGATGCGAGGTGGCTCTGCGCCTTCAGGGCCTGGGGTCTCCAGGGCACGTCCGTCTCTGCTCCAACTTAGCTCCCCACTACCTGGATTCCACCCTACGCAGCGCAGACTCAGCTCGGCTGCCCCCTCCTCTGTCTCTGGAGCCCTGGGCTGTACCGACAACTGGGGTAAGGGCTCTGGAGATCCAGAACGGGCTCTGATGAGTCGGAGAGTCCATACACCAGAACTCCCTCCCTGTGCCCCAAGCCCTCCTCAGCCCTTCCTCGCTCCCCTAACTGCACCAGGAGTTCGAGCTGTCAGCCCTCCTCCCTCAAATTAAAGACCCCAGTCCTCCTCCCTCCGATCTAGAGATGTAGACCTCAGACTTGGGTGTCCAAACTCCAATCCTATTCCATCAGTCCCAGGAGTCCAGACTCCAGCCCTCTTTCAGACCCAGTGGTCCAGACCCCAATCTTATCCCTCAGTCCCAGAGATTCAGACCCCAGTCCTCCTCCCTGAGACCCAGGGGTCCAGACTTCAATCCTCCTTCAGACCCAGGACTCCAGACCACAGGTCTCTTCCCCTAGCCCTCCTCCCTTAGATCCAGGGGTCTAGGCTTCAGGCCTCTGTTCTCAGACTTAGGAGTCCAGACCCAGACCTCCTCCCTCAGACAAGGTGGGGTCTGGTCCCTGTCTTGGCGCCTATCCCCACTCCCAGGCTCTTTCCCTGGGAAGGAAGCATATTTACACGGCCAGCTTTGCGCAGATGTCTGTGAGGAGAGCAGACTCTGCAGCTTGTGCTCGGCACCTCAGGGCCCACTTACCATATACACCCACCGTGAACTCCCGAATCTGTTGGGAGACTCCTCCTCTGATGATCTCAACTGTGTACACGCCTGCATCATCCAGCCGTGCAGAGGTGAGCTCCAGACCCCCTCGAATCTGGTCAAACCTCAAGCGGGCTTGATGCACGGGGTCCAGACTGATCAGTGGAGCTTGTGACCCCAGGCCCCCAGCTGCCAGTACCTTGGAGCCCCGGCGCCAGACCACCAGAGGGGCAGGAGGCCTGGGGCTGGGGACTGGAGTCAGAGGGAGCTTGATGGTGGTTCCCACTAGCACAGCAAGGGGTCCCCCCACCTGCTGGGGGACACTTGCAGCCTGGTAAGTCTCCAAAGAAACTTTGGATTCAGGGTTCTGGGCAGAAAGTTCAAGATTGTGATGCTCCAGGGGTGGCTTTGAACCTGGGGCCTTGCTGGGTACTTTGGTGCCTGGGACTTGAACAGAGAAGGAAGGCCCGGGGTCTTTAGCAGGATCTTGAGAATTGAAACCATCAAAAGCCACTTGGGAAGCAGGGATTTTAGAGGAGGTGACATCAGGATTCAGATATTGTCCCCCAGAAGACACATTAGTCCAGAATGACCCAGGAACATGGCTTGAATTCAGCCCCCGAGGAAACCAGTTGGAATCAGGGATTCCAGCAGAGGCTTCTGACCCTGGAGGCTGATCTGGAAAGTTCTGGCTGGGGCGCTGGCTGGAGACTTTTGAAACCAAGTCCTGAGAAGAGCCCCCTGAGTCTGAGGAGGAGGCAGAGGGTCGTTGAGGTCTAGAAGCTGGCTGGAGGGCGAGGATCCCTGCTCCGAATGCTGCAGAGGAGAGGAGGGGGGGGGGGCAGCATTGAGAGACTGCTAGGGAGCAGGCTGCTGGGGGTGGGGGGCGGGGGGCACAGGGAACTTACCCAGGAGCAGCGAGAGCAGCAGAGTCCACGGGAGGCCCATGGTGATGGTCGCACTCTGGAAAGGACACTACGCCGAGATCCACAGCTTGCATCGTCCCAGGTCTGACAAGTCCAGCAGGAATGGCAGCTTAGCTTCCTGGGTGGGGAAGGAAGACAGACCTGTGGGAGGTGCCAGGGTCCCCTGGCATGATATAGTGGCTAAGTGACCCACCCCACCCTTCGTGTCCATCAGAAGATGTATGGAGAGGCCTAGAATGATCCTCCACTCCTCACCCTGAGGGGAAGGTGGACTCTCAGCTGGAACTGTGGACACCATGCAGGAAGACTTCCTTCAGGAGTGTCTAAGAAATCAAAGCCCTTCCTGTGAACTCCCTGCCTGGCTCAGGTTTCTTGCTTTCCACTCTGTCTTACCTGAAGCTTCTTCTCTGACCTTTTCTTCTCTGACCCTTTCTGTGACTCCCTGATGTCCTCAGAATCAAGTCTGCAGTTGATGTCTCTGTCGAGACCATCTCCCCGAGACCCAGAACTCAATTTCCATTGCCCAGCACCTGCTACACTCAGCATCTCCCCTCTGACCAATACTTTTGGGATGGCTCCATCATCTGTGCAAAGGCTGGGGACCCTTCCCACCGGCTTCCCCTCGGCACTGCCATCAATCTCTGACGCTACCTAGATTCCTCTCCCCATTTTCTCCTCTTGGTGCCTACTGCTCAGACCTTATCATCTTCGCCTACATCCCCCACCTACTTCCTGCAATCTCCTACTCTGGTTAGGACCCCTCCCTGGCCAGCTGACCCTTCCCTCCGTGTGACAGCTTTCCCTGGCTCCACAGCATCCTCTGCAGACATTCTTACAGGCAGGCCCCACCCACTTCTCTGCACTCCATCCCTTATCCCCCTGAACATGGTGCTCTTCTGATGGGTGCTCACCTCCCAGCCTTTGCAAGCAGTCTTTTCCTCTACCTGGAATGCTCTTTCCCTCTCCAGTCAGTGCCTCATAACTGGTCCTTCAGGTCTCACCTCATTAATAGCTACAATAATAATGACAACCTAAGTTCAGCCAGGAACTATGCTAAATTCTATCTGTGCGTTATCATCAGGATGATTTCTTCTGAATGTCCTGAGCAGAATGTTTGGTCCTCATTTGCCAGGCCAAGAGATAAGGATGCAGAGAGGTCATATTTCCTGTGGGAGGTTACACAGCCAGGAGGAGAGGCTGGTCAGACTGCTTAGTCCTTCAGAAAGCTTTCCTAATCCCCCTTGATAGGCTTCAGGCCTCTGCTCAGTTCTGAACCTATAAGACTTAGTATAGTGCTCACAGTGCTGGTGGGAGGCCTGGTCTGAATGCACCGAGCATGCTCTATGTATCACATACAGCTCTTTGCTATGTCAGAAAACTGAAAAAAAAAAAAATATTGTTTTGTTGGGCATGGTGGCACACGCCTTTAATCCCAGCACTTGGGACGTAGAGGCAGGCAGACCTCAGTGAGTTCGAAGCTATCCTGGAGTTCCAGGACAGTAGAGAGACCTTGTATCAAAACAAACAAACAAACAAAAACAAATAAATAAATTAATAATAATAATAATAATAATAATGTTGATGTTTTAATTTATTCTTTGAGAATTTAATATATTTTTATATCTTTTCCTGTCTCCAACTTCTTCTAGATCTTTTCCAACCTTCTTACTCACTCATCTTCATATTCTTTCTCTTTCATAAAATAAAGTAAAATAAACTAAAATATAGCACGGAGTCCATTTTGTGTTGGCTGACTATGCTTGACCATGGGGCCTGGGATATGGTTGGTATATACAGTGTTGTACCATTGAAGAAGACTGATTTTTCCCTCTCCAGGTCATCAATTTCAAATAGCTTCTTGGCTAGGGGTAAAGATTTGTGTCCATTTCCTATTATCCGTGCAGGGATTTTGCCTGGCTTGAACTTGGACAGGTCTTTGTGCATACCGTTCACAGTCTCTTGGGGTTCATATGTGCATCAGTCCTGTTGTGCCTGGAAAATGCTGCTTCTTTGGAGTCATCCACCACTTTTTGCTCTTACAGTCCTTGCACCCCCTCTTCTGAACAGATCCTTGAGCATTAAGAGGAGGGGTGTGATATACATTTCCCATTTAGATAAACGGATAATGAAAATACATTTACACATTGGAAGACAATTCAGCTGCTCAGAAAAATGAATTTATGAAAGTTGTAGGTGTTAAAAATGATAAGCGGCACTAGTTACTGTTCGGAAAGGTCATGTGGCATGAACCACGACAAAATCCAGTATAAGAGCTTTATTAGGAGGAGGGGCCTGGGGAAGAGGAGGAGGGGCCTGGGGAAGAAGCACATGCCGAGAGCAGGGGGGGGGGGACGACAGAGCAGAGAGGAGGGGGGGTCTGTCTGGCTCTAAGGATTCCTGTGCACATGTGCAGGTAGGCATACAGAGCTACACCACATGCACTGATTTGATTGCATGACCACGCTGTGCACACGTAATCACCAGCGTGCACTGATGACGTAAGATGCAAGACCCCTTGCTTAGCTCCTGTACCAGGCATGTGCAGTCATGTAGCTGGTGTGGGTGCAGAATCCTAACAGTAAGTAAATGAAGGGAGCTGGAAACAGTCATCCTGAGTGAGGTAGCCCAGCAAGACAAACAGTGTATGTTTTCCGTCGTATGTGGATGCCAGCTTTTAAGCTTTAGCCGTGTGCTTCTCACTTGACCTTTTAAGTTCCATGGGGAGCTGTCACTCCATCCAGAACTTGAGAGTCTGAAACAAGAGGACATCCTGTTCCAAGTTCAAAAGTTCAAAGCCTGCCTGTGCTACAGGCCAGGGTGGGCAATTTAGTGAAACACTCAAAGAGAGGCCTGGGATGTGGCTGGGTGATATAGTGCTGGCCTAGCACGAACTGCTTGAAGGGCAATGTGTGTGGCTCAGAGGTAGAACCCTGCCTAGAACCCACTATTGAGGAGCTGGGGGTGTGGCTCAGTGGTAGAGCCACTTACATGGCTATTCCTAGCAAGTGTAAGACTCTTGAATTCAATCCCCAGAACTAAACCCAAACAGATAAACACATGGAGCTAGCTTGGTAGCACACACCTGAAATTCCAGCACTTAGGAGGCAGAGGACAAGCCTGGGCTACATAGCAAGTTTCAGGTCAGCCTGGGATAATACTCTTGCGGGCCGCAAGAATATATTATAGAGATTCAGCTGTGTATTAAAGGGTCTGTCAAAAGGCAAGCCATTTATTATGGAATATTTGGTGTTATCCAGTTTTTAATATTTCAGCTGTCTTCTGCTATGAAATTCTTGCATGCCGAAATACTATAGACCATTTGGCAAACAGCTAAACTTCACAGACCTGCTTAACTTCTAGGCAACTAACTCCTCCTCCCCAAGCCTAGGAGACAAGCAGACTGCTAGACACATAGCTTTGTTTCTTGTGCAAATGAAGCTCAGAACATCTACCCCCTTCCTTGCCTAGGGGCATGGCAGAGAGACTGACGGAGGACAATAGTGCTTTTTGCATAACCAGGTGCAGTAAAGACTGGAGTGGAATTCCAGAGGCAGACACAGAACCGCTAGCCAGAGAGAAAAGAGGAAGACAGAGGTTCTGTAGAGGGTAAAGCAGATCTCTTGGAGAGTTTATCAGGGCCAGGGGTAAGGAGCCAGGGAGGATATAGATGGAGGGCGAAGGAACAGAGGACAAAGATCAGGTCAAAAGCATAGGAGCTCACTAAAACTATGAGGACAAGAAAACTGGGCACAGAGAGGAGCTGAATGGAAGAACAGAGCTGAAACTGTAGATAGAATTGACCTAGAAGAATCAAGTGAATGGACTAAAGAACTCAATGTGTTTAGATTCATTTGCTATCCCTCAGATTAAAATCCTTAGCTGCTTGTAGCATCTGTTCTGGACCTGATAGAAATCTCGAGGCAGAAGGAGGGAATTCGTTATAATACTAAGGCCCTATCTCACCACCAACAATAATATAAATATAAATAAAAGAGGTAAGAGAAAAAGGAATGGGAAAGTAGGGTTTCTCCTCCATCCTCAGATCTAATAAGTTCCGTGGTAGCTATGCCCAGAGGACTTAGCCGAAGTTCCCAGACCACTTTCAGAATTGTTGCAGTGCACTTTGCTGTGTGGTAAAACAACCCTTGCAACACAGCTGCTTTTGCTGTGGAGCAGCCCCTTGGGGAGGAGTCATGGCTGTTGGCCCACAGCCTTGGCTGAGGCCCTAGGCAACTGTTAGCTTGGGTCAAGAGCTCCAGCTTGCCAAGCATTTATTTCACTGCATGCCTATAACCTCAGCATTGGAAGAGACTGAGGTTGGAGGAACTTGAGTCTGAAGCCTGCCTGGCTTATATAGGAAGACCCTGACTCCACAAAGGGGGTTAGGTGGGAATGGAGAGATGGATCAGAGGTTAAGAGCACTTGCTGCTTTTTCAGAGGACCTGGGTTCAATTCCCAGTACCCACATGGTAGCTCACAACCATCTGTAACTCCAGTTCCAGGGAATACAGTGTTCTCTTCTAGCCTGTGGTAACTGCATGCATGTATGTGGCACACAGACACACAGACACATCAAATTTAAAAATAAGTATGTTGCTTTTAAATAAGTGGCGCTGTTACCATGCAAGAAAGGTCAAGAGGCACGACAAAACCTAGTATCAGAGCTTTGGGGGGGGGGGCAGAGGAGAGCATGGCCAGGCCTGTTGGAAAGACATGTAAGAAGTGAGCGAGGGGGTACGAGGAGAGAGCAGAAGAAAGAGGAGGAGTCTGTGACTGGCTTTTTAAGGATTCCTCGCCTTGCACATGTGCATGTGGGCTGATGGAGCTACACCACACATGCGCAAATTGCGTGACTGAGTTGCGTCCATTGTGTGTAGGATGTAAGACCCTAGTTACTGAACTGTGCATGTGTGGTCATATAGCTGGAGGAGTGGTTGGAATCCTAACAAAGTAATCAAACGTCTTTTTGAGATAGGGTCTCTGTAACCCTGACTATACTGGAACTCAACATGTAGACCAGGCTGGCCTCAAAATCACAGAGATCCACTCTGTCTCCTGAGTGCTGGGATTAAAGGAGTGCACCACTACACCCAGTAATAAATCTATTTTAAAAAGAGGA